CCTATACCTAAATTTAATAATTTTCAAGTTATGGACTTTTTTTTTAATACTACAGAAAATTTATTACTAGCCATACCCGTTTTCACATAGTTTGCTATGGAAATCAAAAATGTCAAAATTGTTTCTCAGTAAACGTCGACAGTGACTTATTATTTGCCAAATAGTGCCAAAATATGGAGAATCAAAGTTATGCAAACTTAATTATTATTGATAGGTTCTACCATGCAATCATTATTTAAAGCTAACAAGTGGGAAAAATTTATTTTTGTTTAATGAACGATTCATAATTTTGTTACACTTTCCATTAATACAAATAAATTAATTAAATCTAAGTTTGAGTAGCTTTGACTCTCCATATTTTGGCACTATTTGTCAAATAATAAGTCACTGTCGACGTTTATTGAGAAACAATTTTGACATTTTTTATTTCCATAGCAAACTATACGAAAACTACTACTAATAACAGATTTTCGGCAGTCTCAACAAAAAGTCACCATAACTTAAAAATTATTAAATTTAGGTATAGGGAATATTAATAAAGATCGATGCAGAATTAAATTCTCTTCCATTTAGTAAAATAAAAATTGAGGTATTTCATTAGGAAAAATTGAGTTATGGGTATTTGAATTATTACAAAAGTAACCTTAAAATTTTAGGATTTGTTAATGTTTTTTCAAGATTTGACAACACCAAAAGAAAGATCTAAGCTTTCTCTTTTAAACGCCAAAAAAACTAATTCAAAATTTTAAAAAATAGTAGAGTTACCGATTTTTAAAATGTAAGGTGCAGATCCAAAAATTTTTGAGAAACTCCAAATATTTCAAAAACGGCTAAATTTGGGTATAGGGAAAGCTGTTGAAAACTCCCTTAAAATAACTTGATTAATCCAAAACCGCAGTAAAAAATATACCTTTCCATTTAAAATAAAAAACTTGAGACCGACTTCCGGTATAACTGGAAGTGCCGCCATCTTGAAAATATTTTCATTTCGGAGGACTTAATGCATTATGGCTATGTACCAATTTTCAAACAAATATGATTATTCCAACTCCCAATACTACTAATGTGGGGTTTAGACGGAACACGCTGTATTATTTTAATTATTTACATAACTAATCATTTTGTAATATATTATTTTCAGACGAAAAAGTTTGCTGATGTTATAATTCCTCGCGGGGCGGATAATACCGGTAAGCACTTTTTTTTGACGTGTACAGAACTGAATCATTTTCTTTCATTTTAATTTTTTTTTTTTTAATAAAAAATTGCTTTTGGTGAATGGTGGATAGTCACTGCAATAATCATTCCTGTACCATAAGAATCACCTTATCTCATATAAATGTCATAAATAGCTGTTTTTTCTGCATGAAGAAAGACGTTTTAGCTATCGTTGTCGTAATTCATGGTTTATGTTGCAGTGGCTATTGACCTTATAGTTCACCACATCTGGGATATTTTGCATGGGACTGAACGAGAAAACGGCTACAAGTCTATTCCATCAGCACAAAATCGGATGTAGCAACTTTATTAACTTTTAAAACCAGTTTAAAACCAAAGTATCTCACTTTCCAAATAACAATAAGGGTATTTATATAAGACTGGAATAAGCACAACATGGTCAATTCATAAAAATATTTTTTAAATTGTTTTGGATCTGATGTATTGATGATTGTCTTGTATAACAACTTGTTTTACGCATTATTAATAAATAAACCTCCTTAGCATTGATTTATAACGTTTTTTTTTCAATCAATTTTCAGTGGCCATCGATTTAATTGTGCAACATATCAGAGAAATTTTGAGTAACAGACTAAGGGCATCTGAAGAAAGAATTGTTGAAGTAGCTGCAGCTGCAGTAAATCTGACACCGGTGCATTCACCAGCTAAAAAAGTCAATTCTGGAGGAGATGGTCAATTTAAAAGACCTCATTAATAACAGTTTTTAACTAAATTCTTGCCTCTAAACACCTATTATGTAAATAGTTATGCTTTATTTTGGTTGAATTTAAAAAACCAAAGTTGTAGAATTATTAGGTTTAGAAATAATCATTTGTGCCATTTTATTGATGATTCTATGCACAGCAAATACTCGTTTTTACAGGGTTTTTAATTGTGTTAAAGGTTGTGAAATATGTTTGTACTTAAATAAATTTATAATTTTTTTGTGTGATATAATACCAAAACGTCTATTTGATTTTTATGTAATTACTATTTAATAAAACAGTTTTATTCTTAACCTGTTTTTTATTTATCATGATACAAAATTAAAATTAAAACATTCTACTGATAATACAATTCGAGGTTCATCCCATCGTGAATTTCATCTGTTAATTAAAATTAAGAAAAATACCGGTCACAAACTTGATCAATTTTTGTTTGTAAAAAAGGATACAATCCTGAAGCTGAATATGATCCTTGAAAGTAGTGTACCATTTTTTCAGAACGATTTTGTCCCATTTAGTACCAGTTTGTGCAGCTATCAGTTTCTTCAAATCTCCTACAGTATCATCAGGGTTACATTTAACCCTCACTTTCTTACCCAAACGATCGTTGCACGTTATTTCAATCATTATTTTCACAATCTTTGTACAAACTCTAAATTTATTACTTGTTTATTTGGAATTTGCTAGAAATGTGACACTTCTGTTGACAGTTGTACAGTGAAACTACTGTCAAAAATCGAGTTCCAACATTGGTAGTTCTTTTGCGTAGTTCATTTAGTTCTCTTGAAAAGTTACGTGTCTGCGTGGAGCTTTTAGCTCTCTACAATCAAAAATGAATATTCCAAATGAATATATTTCAAGTGCCGAAGATATAGCAGATCAGGTAATAATCGGGGTTAATTAATATTGTAAACACATTTATTTCATTTCATTTGAAAATTTCTGTCAAATTCATTTATAATTTCCAAAAATTCGATTAAATGTCACGTCACCGTTCAACTTTCTACGAAAAAGAAATATAATCAACAAGTTTTTCACAATTATATCGTTACTTTTTATACATTCCATATGTCGTAAATAATAATTTTCTTCTAGGTCATCAGAAAACTAAAACATATCCTTCCAACTGTTGCTCGTTTATGTCTGATTTCAACATTTCTGGAGGATGGCTTACGAATGTGGTTCCAATGGTCAGAGCAAAGAGAATACATGGACATGTCATGGGGATGTGGCAAATTTCTAGCCACAATATTTGTTTTAGTCAATTTGTTTGGTCAATTAGGGGGTTGTGTGATGGTCATTATAAGATACAAAGTTACTATTGCTTGTGGTGTACTTTTCTTTATTGTTGTTTTACAAGTAAGTTCTCAAAAAACAAACAAGATCAAACAAAATCATACAATTCATTCCAGACTTTAGCATACAGCATATTATGGGATTTGCAATTCTTATTCAGAAATCTTGCTCTAATTGGGGCACTTTTATTGGTATTGGCCGAGAGTAGGGGCGAAGCCAAGAGTCTCTTTGCTGGGGTACCTTCATTAGGGGAAAACAAACCCAAAAATTATTTGCAACTCACAGGACGCATTCTACTTGCGTTCATGTTCATCACGCTGATACGCTTCGAATTAAGCTTTTTTCAGGTAATTTTTTCATTGAAATTCATTTCATTGAACTTGGCATAAGAGTAGGCCATGATTGTGTAAATCGCGCTTTAAATGTGAAAAAGGCTTTACATATTTTCCCCCACCACTCTCGTTTCGTGCAGCCAGGTTCACACTCGAAAAATTATTGGAATGTTATTAAAATAAAGCATCATATTTTACAAAACATGAAAAAATGAGCATTTTCAATTGCAAATCACTATTGTAGATAGTTTTTTGACGTTTTCAGTGTAATTCTCTCATGAATAACAATTTAAATGAATTATATTGTTGCAACTGTGCGATTCAAGGTCTAATGTATTTGATTTATGCATTATTAGCTTTATTTTTTTCAAGTGTCATCCCGAGTATCGATTTTTTTCATTTTATTAAAATGCCGTTTGACTGTAAAAAAATGGTGGGGTTACAATGACTTTTTAGGGTTGTAATGAATTTTTTTT